CTCTGTCATCATTTTAAGTGGGGGAACTTGCACAATCGGTGGCTGACTAAATACTTTTTTGCCCCACTGTACATTGTGTGTGGAACAATACAACTCACCTCTCGTATGGCTACGTCAGACTGGCAGCAATTACTGCAGCCAGCCTCACCTAACCAGCCAAACCGAGAGGGGGCGCTGTTTCCCCATTACACTGACATTTGTGGCAAGTGGAATGCCACATAAACACTGTTACATATGTAGCCATCGCGACAGAAAAAGACCTTTCTGATAGATACGATTTAAACCATTTAAGGGCACTGCCCGTGATGCCCCCCAGATGCTCAAGCCTCATTAGAAGGACATTATGGTCCACCAAATCAAAAGCAGAGGACAAATCAAGCAAAACTAAGACCACACGGCGCCCTGAGTCAGCAATTGAGAGAAGGTCATGAAAGACTCTCAGTAATGCTGTTTCCGTGCTGTGGCGTGGCTTAAACCCCGACTGAAAAATTTCCCCGATATTATTTGCATCCAAATAAGTTTGGAGTTGGGAGTGAACAATCTTCTCTAGGACTTAAGACAGAAATTGGAGTTTGGAAATAGGTCTAAAGTTAGCGAGATCATTCTGACCGAGGCAGCTCTTTTTGAGTATAGGTTGCACTACAGCGTGTTTAAAGGCAGCCGGAACATAGCCCGGTAACAATGACAGGTTCATTAGAGATAAAATACAGGGCCCAATAATGTTAAACCCATCTTTAATAATGCGAGATGGAAGGATGTCATGAACAGCGTTTGTGTTTTTCAGGTGATCAATTATACCCCTGAGAGTGGGGAGTGAAACTGGATAAAACTGATTGTGGTTAGTGGAGCATCGTAAAGCTGGCGCCTGACTCATTACAGGGGGTGTGAGACTCTTAGAGATAAGATTCTGCCTGTAAAATGATTTAAAAATTCTTCACAAAGTGCTAAGGAAGCCAGTCTAGGCGTTACAGGACAGGGATTAATCAATGAGTTAGAGGTTTTAAATAAAAAATGTGGATTGTGACTGTTATCCGTAATGACAGCTGACAGGAAACCTGCCTAACCGATTTCTATAATTCCAGGCGGGTCCTGCGAAGGATGTCAAAAGACACCTGGAGCTTATCTTTTTTCCACCGTCTTTCAACTTGGCAGCAAATGCGTCGTAAAGCATGTAAAGAGTCATTTAACCATGGTTGAGGGCAGCTTCTAAGCTGTTTTACCTTTATAGGGGCCACAACGTCCAGTAAAGAAGAGCATGTAGAGAGGAAGGAGTTAGCAAAATCATCAACTGGAGAGGGTGTAGAACGATCAATGTCAGGAAAAACAGATTTGGAGAAAGCAGTCAAAAATTCAGCCACAGTCACAGGACTGATTATGCGCACAAGACGTCGAGGACCCTCAAAGTCCTGGACCATTTTGGATAACAGCATCAAAGATGACTGGGAAGTGGTCAGAGATTCCGATGTTGCTGATGTCCCTGATACAGATGTCCAGTCCATAAGAAAACATCAAGGGTATGTCCTTTGAAGTGGGTAGGTGCATTAACCCACTGGATGAGATTAAAAGAGTCAGCTAAGGCTAAAAAATCCTTGGCAAACACATCATCTTTACAACAAATGTGAATGTTAAAATCGCCAGTGATAAGAACACGATCATAATTTAAATAAAGAGATGCTAAAAGGTCAGCAAAATCGTTAATGAAAGTCTTATTATATTTCGAGGGACGGTAAATCACAACACAGAGAGTCAGGGGGGGACCAGCAAGTTCCAGCAGTTGAGCTTCGAAGCTAGGGAACATAGCGGAGGGCAGGTGTCGTACTCAGAATTTATTCCTAAAGACCACTGAAGGTCCTGCCCCCCTGCAGGAAGGTCTCGGTGAGCTAAAAAAGGTACAATTCGGAGGAACAATCTCTGAAAAAGGAAAAGACTCACCAGGACAAATCCGTGTTTCCGTCATGAATAATAAATCCAAACCTGTAGCAGTAAAAAGATCGCTCACAATA